ACAGAATAGACTAAGTATAACTTTCAGTCTACTTGCAACCTTCCTCCACTTCTTCAAACAAATGAATTCAATTATGCTTTTGCCATGGGCTTTAAAGATGACTTTATCAGGCAACTTAGGGATAAAAATAAAAGTCTATACTTCTCAAATGAGTATAGCAGGTGTTTGATTTGAAAAACAAACAACATAAAGAAGGCCAGGGCCAAAAAAAGGAGACGCTTGAATTGAGGGACCTTCATTAGCTGCAGCAGCAAAATGTGACCTAAAGCAAGCAAACAGCCACAGACAGTGACCAAGGGTAGCTCAGGTAACCCAGGGGTAGATAAGGTGACCCAGAGTGGCCAAGGTGACCCAGGGGTGGCTAGGAGACCCAGAGGTGGCTACAGTGGCCCAGGAGTGGCTAAGGTGACCTGCAAACAGCTAAGATGACCACGAGTGACTAAGGTGAGAAGGTGGCTAAGGTGACCCTGGGGTGACTAAGATGACTCACAGATGGCTGAGGTAACCCACAGGTGGCTAAAGTGGTCCCGGGATGGCCAAGGTGACCCTGTGGTGGCTAACATGGCCCTGGGGTGGCTGAAGGGACCTACGGATGGTTAAGGTAGCTCACAGGTAGCTCAGGAGGTACTATGCTAGCAGCAGATGACAACTCAAACCTGGGAGGCCTAGCACCCTTCAAGGACAGCTCCATTCCCATTTACAGACTCTGGGAAACCTTTCAAAAGATTCTTATGAGCTTTGAATATAAATTTGATATTAAACTGGGACATACATTGACAGGTATTTCTTTAAAGATTCTGGGGCATTATTTAAAAGCAATGCTTTCTATAACTGGCTATTAAAAATAAAACAGAATGCCAATCTTTTGAAATATACTCTGTAAATCTGTCACTACATATTTAGATCATGACAGTATAGGCTAATTGTTTGCATTTTGTCATAATTATTACCTATTTGGAATATTAAGCTTAAAACAACAGAATCATAAAATTATGTTCCACAAAGACAATACAAGCAAAGTAACAACTTTTTTTTTGAGACAGGGTCTCTCTCTGTTGCCCAGGCTGGAGTGCAGTGGCATGATATTGGCTCATTGCCACCTCTGTTTTTGAGATTAAGCGATTCCCCCACCTCAGCCTCTTGAGTAGCTGGGACTACAGGCGTGCACCACTATGCCTGGCTAATTTATTTTTACTGTTTTTTTTTTTGTAGAGACAGGGTTTCTCCATGTTTCCCAGGCTGGTCTCAAACTCCTGGGTTTAAGCAATCCTCCTGTCTCAGCCTCCGAAGGTTCTGGGATTACAGGCTTGAGCCACCACACCCAGCCACGATTTTTTGAATTGCAAGAGATGTGCAAAACTTCTCATGCCACAACACAGTAAGCCCCTCCCACAGACCTAATTTATTATATCAAATTTATTAATCACTTGATAAAATTTTATTTATAATTCAGATCATTCACTGAATTAAACCAGCTCTAAGTATTCCATATCATTGCCTCATTGGTCCTCTAAATGGTAAAAATAAAGCCAGGGAACATAAAGTTTTCTAAAGGAAACTGGCTTCTGGACTTGAATTGGGAATGCACGTGCACACGCACACGCACACGCACACGCACACACATGCACACATGGTGTGAAGGCAGGAGGTTTGTCTTGGTGGCCACCGCTCTGAATGCCACTGAGCCACTGAGCCTCCTCCACCGAGTCTTAGAAGCGGCCCTACAGCACCATCTGCTGTTCTGTGGAGGTCACTTGACACTCCACGCCAGAGCAATCAAGCCAGGAGCTGCCCAGAAGCTACCAGGTGTGGGCTGCCAGGGGCCAGCCTGCACCTCATGGCCTGGTCTGGGTGGTCTGCTGAATACAAACCATCTGACAGGACATCAACCAGATAGAAAACTCTTTGGGGTAAGGAGAATGTTCTCTACCCTGATTGCTTAGTGGTGTGGGACTGGCATACATTTGTCAGGATATATCAGAGAGCACACTTTATAAGAATGATTTTTGGCCAGGTCAAGGCAGATGGATTGCCTGAGGTCAGGAGTTCGAGACCAGCCTGGCCAACATGGCAAAACCCCGTCTCTACTAAAAATACCAAAATTAGCTGGGCGTGGTGGCAGGAGCCTGTAATCGCAGCTACTTGGGAGGCTGAGGCAGGAGAATCACTTGAACCCAGGAGGCAGAAGTTGCAGTGAGCCAAGATTGTGCCATTGCACTCCAGCCTAGGCAACAAGAGCGAAACTCTGTCTCAAAAAAAAAAAAAAAAAAAAAAAGATTTTTATTGTCTGTACATTTTACTTCAGTAAATCCAGTTTTAAAAAAATCAGAAATCCCAGAAAAAAAACAAATTCTATAAGAAAGTTAAGTCTGGCCAGGCGCAGCGGCTCATGCCTATAATCCCAGCACTTTGGGAGGCCGAGGTGGGTGGATCACGAGGTCAAGAGATCAAGACCATCCTGGCCAACATGGTGAAACCCCATCTCTACTAAAAATACAAAAAAAAAAAAAATTAGCTGGGCATGGTGGTTTGTGCCTGTAGTCTCAGCTACTCCGGAGGCTGAGGCAGGAGAATTGCTTGAACCCGGGAGGCGGACGTTGTGGTGAGCCGAGATCGCGCCACTGCACTCCAGCCTGGGTGACAAGAGTGAAATACCATCTCAAAAAAAAAAAAAAAAAAAAAAAGTTAAGTCTAGATTTGAAATAAAATAGAAAATATATGTATTTTAAGAAGAATGAATTAAATGGGTTCCAAGAAACAGAATGAATAAGCTGGAAAGGGCTGGAGACAGTGTAAGAGAGGCAGTGGTCCCTCTCAACAAGACGACACAGAGAGGCAGAAGTGCTGGTGCTCAGGGACATGAGGGCACATGGTCCCACACTATCACTCACCGCGCTCGCCACACCTGACAGGCCCCTTCCCTGCCCCACACGACAGAGAAGGAAGCTGAGCAGGGGAGTCGAGGCCCTTGCTCGACCGCTGGATCCAAACTCAACTCCACTCCCCACTCTGCTCTACCACTCCGTGCCAGACAAGAATGCAGGAAAAAAGAGAAAATGGAACTAAAAAATCAGGGAAATCAGGAAAAAGAAGAAATGGAACAAAAAAATCAAGTATACCAAATCCAAGTATAAAGCAAATTAAACCGTGGTATGACTTTCGGCAGTTATCATAATAACATAAGCACCATTATGAATTTGGAACTGTGATTGAAGTAAGGTTATAGAACAGAAAAAGTGTTCTCCTTTGGTAACATGGAAGACAAACTAGGCTGGGCGCGGTAACTCACACCTGTAATCCCAGCACAGTGGGAGGCTGAGGCAGGTGGATCACCTGAGCCCAGGAGTTCAAGACCAGCCTGGGCAATACCGCAAAACCTCGTCTCTACAAAAACTAGCTGGGCATGGTGGCATGTGCCTGTAGTCTCAGCTACTAGGGAGGCTGAGGCAGGAGAACTGCTTGAACCCAGGAGGCAGAGGCTGCAGTGAGCCAAGATCATGCCACTGCACTCCAGCCTAGGTGACAGAGCGAGAAGACAACAACAAACTGACAGAGGTCAAACTGACACCACTGAGAGATGAGGGCCAGGTGAGTGCTTCTGCTGCCTCCCACACAGGAAACTGAGATGCTGAGAGGCCACCCAGCCTCCACAGGCCACAGCATGTGGGCCACTCACAGTCTCTAGGATGACAAGCAGAGAGGCATGGCTGCAAGCTTGGTCAGCTGACCCAGAGCTCATCCTCAAGACCTTTTCCCCTGCCCCTCTACCAGGGGTACCACAAGAATGAAAGGCTCATTTTCTCAGTCTCTTTTGTGACTACAGCTGGCCACAAAACACAATTCCGGTCAAGGAAAAAGACACAGCTCTGGCCAAGTGAAAATATGCTGAGGGCTTCCGCAATGCCTCTGACAAAAGGAACAGACAAGAGCTGCACTGCCTGCTTCTTCTGTTGTTCTTGCCTTAAACACACATGTGATGTCTAGAGCTGCTGCTGCTGTGCTACACCGATACTCAACTAGAGTCCTGACACGGCCGAACTCTGAACTCGTTCTAGCAAACTCCTACCTCTGGATTACTTATAACATAGTAAGTACAGGTATACATCCAAGGTGTGTGAGATACTGAAAGTCATGCTGTGACTTTCACCTGGAATCAGTCCTAAATGATACAGGAAAAGAAGGCTGCAGAAAAGTCAGTGAGTTAAATCCTCCTCCACATGAACTAACACTACACAGATAATGTCTAAAGTTCATCAATCAGACAACAGCAAATGCAGGATGCAGCCCTTTCTCTTGGTTAAACCTGCTATGTTGCATCTCTGTCACTTATAGCCAATCCTAATACTAATTAATACAGAAATGCAAACATCTAAAATGCAGTTTTAAAAAATCAGTGATGCTCCTGAGGAGGGCAAGGAGTAGACACTATTGCTTCTCATCAAAAGCCCATCTAAGTTTGAGGCCATCACTTAGAAAGAAATTGAAATTAAGCATAGGTCTGGTCTTTTCCTGCCCCCAGCAGGCCCAGCCTCTCCCCACCCTATTCACACTCTCGGGCCCACCAGGCTTCTGGGGTCACCTTCTCAGCCCCTCCTGCCTGGGGTGCCCTCCTCCCACACCATATGCCTAGAAAAGACATCCAGCTTTCCAGTCTTGGTGCAACCCCTACATCCATAACTTCTCCTACCCCGCCTCCTTGGCATACCTCCTTCTGTGTTGACGTTCCTCACAGTGCCATCAAAGCCTTCCTCCCCTCCACACCCACCAGGCCATTTGCACATAGCGGGCAGAAACTGCACCTGAACCCTCAGTGTCTCAGTCAGAGGCAAGGCAGAGGCAGAGGCCGAGCTCCATCACTGAACGAAGACATCCTCACTCTGTCCTCTGAAGAGACTTGGAATGTTTTATTTTAAATTGGGTTGATGGGCCTTGACTCATCCGGGGACAGCTGGTCATTAAAGCATGAAGCTCCTGCCACACCCAGAGGGCCACCCACGTACCCTCAGACCAAGGAAGGGCGGCCAGGGGCCAGGAATGGTCAAGAGCCCCCAGGCATGGCTACGGCGTGGATTAAGAAGGGGGTCAGAAGTCTTCAGTTCCAGAACGCTCCGCACATCAGGATCACAAGGGGTGGCAGGCTGGAACCTCAGCTATACTTCCCCTTACAGGAGGGAATCTGTCCACAAGAGGGAGCTGCTGTGCCACTACGAATCCCTTCATGCAGAAAAAGCCTTTGGGAAATACTGAACAGAAGTAAATTCAGACTGTGCCCTGGACCCTGTGGACACCAGCCGGGGACAGCCTTCTCCCCGCAGGGTGCACACCAAGCAACCTGGCAGAGAGCAGCTGGGTGTCTCCTCTGGGTGCGGGAGCACCCCTGCTCTCACAGCGGCCGCTGCCTGGCAGGGCAGGTCTTCTGTTCTCCACCCTCCACCAGCTGTCACCATAGGGCTGGTCTGCCCCCACGTTTGTCCCCAGGCCTCGGTCAGTGCCTGCCCACGGGGGCTCAGTCCATGTCTGTTGTTAAAGGAATGACTCTCTCTTGAGCACTGCTACAGGTTCTGAATTGCAAACTGTGATGCCAGCTGTAGCAAACACCACGACTCCACAGCCCGCTTTACCAGCAGCAGTTCCATTTATTTGCAACACTTGATGTTATTGTCCCTAAATCTGGTGTACCTGTAGTTTTTCCCTGTCATCTCGGCTTAGGCAAAGGACCCAGGTCTGAGGAAGAAGAGTGTTAAGGGTCTACATGTTTTTAAGAGCAGGGTCTCCCGCCCATGATGCAGAGCTTGCTGGAAGACTGGAAGGCCTGCCCTGCTGTCACTCATTCCCGCATGAGGGCACCTGACAGGAGGCCAGAATCAGAGCTCAGAGACCGGTGGACTTTTCCTAAGAGAGCGAGTCCTCAAGGCAGCTGGCCACCAAGCAGGGGAGGGAGTCCATTGTCCCCACTCCTTCCCTTAGCTTTACTCCCTCCCTCCAGTCCTTCTGATCCCTCCCACTCCCATGGGCCCAGGGCCACCACAGGATGAACACAGGCACGAATGACTCACATTGTGTCCCTGCTCTGATGCTGCCTAGTCCCATGGCTGCTGGTGGCCTCTAAAATTACAAGGGTCTTTGAAAAGGGCTGTGCATGGTCAGATTTTCAGGACAGCACTCAGCTTCACCCACCCCCATCACAGAGGACTCATCTGGGAGGGTGAGGGGGGGCACAGCCTCCATCAGGCCCACCCGAAGTCCAGGACCACAGCACCCACAGAGGGCCCTCTTGACTGTGGCCACACCTTTCTGCTGACATTCTACACTCAGCATGTTTTTTTCCAATTTCTCTAATACATCTCAAAATGTGGATAGCAGGCTTGTCAGTTTTAGAAAGCCTTTCTCGTACTCTGCCTTCATCTTCTGAGGCCTCTCTTTGCTTCTCAACCTAAATTAGGTACTGTCTCTTCCAGTATTTCTGCTTCATTAGGGGCTACTCTGTCCACCTACCACTCATGGTTCTGAGGTAACCAACTCAGGACCCCATGTCTATGTGCACTGACTGACAGGCTGGCATCACACAGTGGTCCTACTGAAAGCAGCAATCTGGTCTTTTCCTCTTAAATCACTGGGTCCTCTGAGATTACCTGGAAGACTGGAGATTTTCTCTGCCTGTTTATGGTTTTAAGTGCCCTCAGTATGCACCCACACTAAGGGGTGCTAAGAAGATGCAGACAGCTGGCAGTGGTTGTCACTCTGGTAGGCCAGTAAGCACACAGTGTGGAGGCCTCTGCTGAGGAACAGGGAGGAGGGCTCTCTCTGCCCTGTGGGTTTGGGTGGAAACAAAGCATTTTGGGATCTGGAAATCCTACCCAGCACATAGACTTCCTTGAGACCTTCCAATTGCAGAGTCAGCAGAATTGGCAACCCAGATGAGGTCCCGCCAGCAAGTGAGCCCCTTAGAGCAGGTCTGTCCCTTTCCATAAACCTTAGGCTGTGCAGGCCATATATGGTCTCCGTTGCAGATTCTTCCTGTTTTGTTTTATAACTCCTTAAAAATGTAAAAACCATTCCTAGCTTTCAGGTTGCAGAATCTGCTCACAGGCCACAGCCTGCCAGTCCCTGCCCCAGGAGATCCACCTGGGAATCTGCAGAGGCGGCTCTGCCCACGTGGCAGGGGACTTACCCTCCTGTCAGCAGTAGCCAGGGCTGTGGTACTGGGTGCCCCTGACTTCGACTGCTGTCACCCACTGACCTGGACAACAAGGCGTCTTCATCCTCGGGATCTTCATCATGGGCCTGGCCTTAGGAGGTCCTCAATGCTCACTGGATGAATAAGCATGAGCTCATTGCCATTTCAATTTCATCTTTTGTTAAAAAAAAAAAAATCTATGCAAGTCTTTTGTCCCAAATTCCACCGTACTGCCTTGTCCACAAGGATATGTAGGATTCTTCATGTACTGTGGAACCTGAACACTAAGCCAGGCCTCTGTCAGGCACACACCCCTGCTGGGCGCACACACCCATGTCAGACACATACACCCCTGCCAGGTGCACATACCCATGTCAGACACACACACCCCTGCCAGGTGCGCACACCCATGTCAGACACATACACCCCTGCCAGGCACGCACACCTATGTCAGACACATACACCCGTCAGGCTCACACACCCCTGCTGGGCGCACATACCCATGTCAGACACATACACCCCTGCCAGGTGCACACACCCATGTCAGACACACACACCCCTGCCAGGAGCACACATCCACGTCAGACACATACACCCATCAGGCTCACACACCCCTGCCGGGTGCACATACCCATGTCAGACACACACACCCTGGTTGCACATACCTCTGTTGGGTACACACACCCTGGGCGCACATACCTATGTGAGACACACTCCTGTCAGGTGCACACACCACTGTTAGGCACACACCTCTTTCAGGTACACACAGGTGTGACATATTATTTTCTCAGTCAGTGTAGTGTTAGCATCCTGCTCCTGGGGTACACACCTTGTACACTCCCCTGCCCTTGCAGGTGGGAGGAGTTGTGAATATGATGGGATATAGTGTTACATAAGGTAAAGGTGAAGGGATGTCAGACATCTCATCAGGTGACTGAGTTCATCAAAAGGGAGATTTTCCTGAGTGGGTCCAGCCTGATCAGGTAAAGCCCTGAAAGACAGGATAAGTCAGTAAGGAAAGGAAGAGGGGAGACCCTTGCCTATACACCTTGAGAGGCAAACTGCCATGCTGTGGAGAGGACCACAGGGCAGGGGTTATGGGCAGACTCCAGGAGCCAAGCCCCACAGGCCTATGGCCACAAGGAACTGAGCTCTGCCAAGAGCTAGTGGGCTTGTTAGAGGACCCTTAGTCAGATGCGCCGGCAGCCCCTGCACGACAGAAAATGAATGCACAGGCACCTTCACTACTGACACTACAAGGAACAGAACCGGGCTCAGGCTGCTGAACATAACCTGATACCCCTTCAACAACTGTCCGACTCCACCAGGGGAATGAGCTGGGCTCCCAGGGGCTTTGAGCCAGGAAGCACATGACTATGACAACTGACTGATGAGCCACAAGCCAGCAGACAGGAAGTAAGACTTGAGGAGCTGGCAGGGAAATGCAGATTGTGACTTTGGAATATTGCTGGTATTCTCTTTAATGTTGTATTTACTAATGTGTGCACAAGGAAGCCCCTTCTCTTTCTCTTCATCTATCTCTAGCCATAAATTCAGTAGACTGCTTTCAAAGCTGCAATGTAACAGTGCTCCTGAACTTTCAGAATTGAGGAACACTCACACCAAGACGCTTTACTCTTCCTGACAATGTAGTTTATTGCATAGGTTCAGTAAGAATGTGTCCTCCTTTTACTTGGATATAACTGGGGAAAAAAAATGTGCCACCAACCCCACATCTGAATTGTCACATCTCCTAAGCCATCCACAGGAAGGATCCTTGCCCAGTGGAGCCAATGTCCATCCAGCCCTCACAAGGGAGCAGGCCTGTCCCCTATTCTGTACCTTACAGGGGCACAGAAAATTGCAAGGGCCTCAAGTTAAAGAAGTTCATAAACATTCCTAAAGACTCTGGGCAAAACCTGGTGTGGAAACATTTCTTTGGTTTGGCTTCATAGTTCCAGAGTAGAAGAACAAATAAACGCAATCTTAAAACTCTCTGGAATGACAGAGGCTACTGGAAAAGCCATATTTTCCCCACAAAGCTTTGGACAGAAATGAATCCTCTGACCTGGCCAGCTGCTCTCCCTCCGCTGACCTTACAGTGGGACGCCATGCGCCTGAGCGCCCTTAAGCTGATGCAAATCAGTCAGGCCAAACACCACACAGATAGCTTCCTGGTGCAGGGGCTTGTGCCAGAAAAGCACGTTCTGAGAGACTTCTTGTTCTTAGCCAAATTTTTACTTTATGTCAGTAATATTCTGGAATATTTAGGTACTAAAGCATCACCTTTGCTCAATTGGTTATTTTAGTCAATAAATTACTTTGAAGGAAGAAAAATGTCCACTTTTTGTCACAATATCTGAGGATGCAGAATTAGTGCCCTTAAATAATGTGCTTCATTCGAAGGCCCTCAGTGGATTGACAATCCACCCAGACTGCCCATCTCCAGGACCTCCGTGCAGAGAAGAGCCCTACAGAGGCTCATGGAGCTCCTCACCAGGACACCACCAGGCACCAGGACAGAGGTCAGTGATGGCTCCCTCCTTCTGGCCCCAAGAGCTCTCCTGAAAAGCGCCTAAAGACACGGCTGCTTCTTGGCACTGGGCTCCATGCCGCTCCTCACTACTCCTTTCAGTCAAGGCTTCAAGAGAACTCTAGTTCTTGAACAGTCGATCAGGCAGCCACACTGTGCACAGAGCAGGAGGTGGCAGCGATGCCTGGTGGTAGCCACAGGAAGCAACATGAGAAGTGGCTTAGGCATCACAGTGATATGGACAATCCTAAGCCCCCTGGAGGGAGCAGCACCATCCCAGAAACAAAAAACTGTCCTGCCCATAAGGACTTCAATGCAGGTGGAAAGGCTGTTCATAATTGTCTAAGCCCAGACCCAGCTGAGTTTTGGATTCACATAATGCATTTTTCTACACTTTTAGTATACACTCAATGTTCCAAAAATACAGAGACTATCTAGAGATAGGGAAGACTGAATGCTGCTTCCTTCAGGGCTGACCATTTTAGAAAGTAATACCACCCAGCTCCACTGCGTATGGTTGTCAGGCCACGAGCTCGGTACCCCATATCTGCCTGCACTGACAACCCCATACCACTCAGTGGTTTGAGTGAAAGCAGGAGTGCCTGTGTTCACACAGTGGCATAGAAAAACATTTTATTATGTATTTTCAATTTCTCTTTAGATAACACTTGGGCATGATACTGCTATAATTACATAAGGTAATACCTTCTATGAGCTTCATTTTAAAATAAAAAGATCAGCTAATAAATATTTGTTAAGAAAACAAGATGTGGTGTGTGGTGGCAATGAGAAAGACTGAGAAAGCCTTCCAAGTTTAGATAAGAGTCAAGGTTTCCTGAAGCCCTTCTCAGCAATTCCCTTTGAGCAGCGGAATTATTATAGGAATTCTATCTATGTATCCCTCCGAGATGTTCCAGCCTCAGAAGATAATCTCATGTATAAAAGACACAAGAAGTAACTTCAGTCTTTTCAAGGAAAAAGAAAGGCAAAAACAGTGAGACTGTCTGAAACTAAAAATAATGCCCACACCTACAGTGAACGTGTGGCTACACTGCACAGACAACAGTAACGCAGGAGCCAAGAGGGAGGCTCAGAGAGAATCCGATGGTGCAGTGAGACCGTGGACGGCCGTGCTTCCAAAGATTTTTCAGCCAAAATCTTTCATGTTTATTTATTTTTATTTAAATCACCATGAAGAGGGAAAAGAATAACACACCAAACTGTTTGCTGTCGAAATTAGCTCTTATTTTATGAAAGAAAGGAAAGACATGATTTCTATCCTGCAGCTAACATTTAGTAACACAGAATCAGGAGGAGGAGATGTGACTCATCATGTCGTAATATTTTATAATTTCCAGCTCTTTAGTTTTGCTTTCTCAGCACATGCTTTAGATATCTCCTTCTGGCCTGATTATATTTCTATGCTTTTAAGAACAATTTATTGGTACAAAGAATTATAAATAATTCATTTTTCTAGTATACAGTTACATTATATAAAAATACTTGCTATTTCACATATATAGCATAATTAATGCAATGCTTTCCTCTATGGCATGTTAAAAATAGGTAGTCATAAATTAACACTTAACTTGGCAATATTAAATCACAATGTCTCTTTCAGACTCATTCCAACTCTGGGATTCTCATTCTTTCAATAACCTCTGGTTACAGAGAAGCTGATTTCCTATCACTAATTAAGTTAAAAGAAGCGTTATGGCTGAAAATAAAATTCTGTCCCACTGGCACAAGCCAAGATAAAGGTGACTTGATTTTGACCTGCCCATACTTGGACTGCCTGTGTACCCTCCCCTCCCCCTGCCAAAAAAAGCATCGGTTGAAGCTAAACCACCTTTAAAGGTCTTACTGGGGAACCAGTTATCTGAAATTCCTGACATTTACAGACAGAAATGGCAAGTCGGGCCTTTGCTGGCACAAACTCAAAACCCACTAGTCAGATATGGGCATGTCTCTACTCCCCAAAGACGGTGTCCCCCGTAGGCTCCCAGCCACTCCCATCCATCCAAACTCATGCCCTGGTGATTGCCCCCTCCTCACGGCTCTGCATGCCATCCAGAACTCCCAGGTAGGAGCATGGCCATCCCCTCCCTCCATGTCCAGTGAGTGGCTCACAGGAGAGCGGCCAAGCGAGCTCCTAGTCCCTGCCATGCCCAGAAGGCATCTGAGACCCAGTGGGTGCTCGTCAATATCCACAGAGCAAATGAATACAGGAGCACATCTGTGTTCTTCAATCCTGCAGTGGCCCTCTGACACTTTCTCCTTCCCCTAACCTCATCTGAACCCATGAAAAAGCTTCCTTGGAAATGTACAACTGGATTTTCTTGAGTTAGTCACTCAGCTGGTTATAAGTAAATTAACCTGACACCATACTAACATTACTGGGATCTTAGTATTTGACTCAGCTTCTCTCAAAAGCAGACACTGAATCATGGGATAGTCACTAAAAATAAGTACTATAGAAATTTTCTTTTTTTTTGAGATAGAGTCTCACTCTGTCACCCAGGCTGGAGTACAATGGCGCAACCTATCTCACTGCAGCCTCCGCTCCCTGGGTTCCAGAGATTCTCCTGCCTCAGTCTCCCGAGGCTGGGACTACAGGTGTGTACAACCATGCCTGGCTAATTTTTGTATTTTTGGTAGAGATGGGGTTTTGTCATCTTAGCCAGGCTGGTCTCGAGCTCTTGGCCTCAAGTGATCCACATGCCTTGCCTCTCAAAGTGCCAGGATTACAGGGAAATTTTCTTTTAATTACTTCTAAGAAAATAATAATTGATGGTAAACGGCTTTCACCAAGTCTACTGCCTGGCATGAAGCACTGACTCAAGAAATGGTGTGATCCCAAAGAGGGTGGCAGGTGCCATATATGCCACTGGAGGGCAGCAGGTACCACCCCAGAAAGAGAAACAGGGTCTCATGAGTAATCTAAGGCTGCAGTAAGATTAGAAATACAACAGTAACAGATAATCTG